ATCATTACTACTTCCCGTGTCGTACCGGTCAGTGCCTACCCTGGAGTTTGGTGTGCAATGGGCACCGGGACTGTCCTAATGGCGAGGACGAGGGAAAGGCTTGTTTTAATAGCAGTAGTGATTATTCCGTAAGAATGTCTCAGTTTTTACTTATCATTATTAGTTGTGTTTTAAATGCTATTTATTTATGATGACTGAGAGTATTATAATTTATAATGTATTTTGTAAAAGTGATTTAATTAGTGTTATAATAATAAAAATATTATTATATAACATTTATTTATACATTAATTTTTCTAAACAATAATTTAGTTATACAGTAAGCTATATTGTAATTACTATTTATTTATTATGAGTAAATTAAATGAAAATAGCCTATTTTTATATTACTAACTAATCTACCAAAATGTATAATTTTCTAATTTTTAAATTTATTTCTAAATGGTGTTTTGCAACATAAAGTTTATATTGAAATTAAATTTAATTAAAAAATTTCCATTAATAAGTACGTGGAGTGGAAAATACCATAAGATTGGCAATTGAATACCGTGTTTGACCATACGGTACAGAAAATTTTTAGAAATACTTTTGAAACTAGATTTTTAGATTTAGTTTATAATAATAGTACGACAGAGTAGGGTAGTAATTGTTAGATAGATCATTGTGATTGACTTTATATAATAAACTAAATCTAGTAAACATTTTAAAAGTTTGATACTAAAAGAAAGTGTATTTTAATTTACAATTATTTTATACTATCAAAAGTAGATAATCTTAATTTAGAAATGAAAAATCTATTTATAATAGTATTTTCAGTCTATTTGTGCTCAATATCTGTAAAATCATTGGATTTTGACGAAAGTAAATGCGATTCTGTACCGGAATTCACACCAGAATTACGGCAACAAATCGCTAGTCTTAAGGGCGATGTTAACAAAATCATTAATTTTGTTATGAATGGCGGCGACAGTGGTGTCACTTATAATGAACTGGCCACTTTTGTAGATAGGTTTGGTCCAAGGCACCTTGGTACTCGTGTTTTAGAGGATTCCATTGATTACGTGGTTGACCTATTGAACAAAGAGGGTCACGATGGCGTCCGTACGGAATCGCTTCCCGTTCCCATATGGGTATGTAGTATAGGAATATCAAGTTTATTACTGTGGGTATGAGAGAGAGAGAGAGAGAGAGAGAGAGAGAGAGAGAGAGAGACTTTTAAAAGTGTTTTAAACTACTTTTTATTTGTTTTTAAGAGAAGAGGCAGAGAATGGGCGCAAATGGTTAGCCCGCGATTGAAATCCATGAACATCCTGGGCCTGGGTTACAGTGTGGGCACCAATGGAAAGGTATTAACCGGTGAAGTGGTTGTCGTGAAGACATTTGAAGAGTTGAGGGCTCGTGCCCATGAGGTGCCGGGTAAGTTTGTGGTCTATAACTTTGTTTATGAAAGTTATGCCAAGACTGCTAAGTATAGGAGAGAGGGGGCCAGTGAGGCGGCCAGGTTTGGGGCTATCGGTGCGCTGGTAGGTTACACTATAAACTCACTAATAGTAAAGTGTATTAAAATTAATTTCACCATCTAGATCCGTTCAGTGACTCCATTCTCAATTGATTCACCGCATACCGGTATGCAAAGTGAGTATACAATTATTATAATGTATTAGCAAGGTCAGTTCCTATTCATTAATTCATATAACTTACCATAAGAAAACTCTATTTACTTTTAATTTTTATTTTATTTTATTTTCATTTTAGTTATGTTTTTCTAATGAAATAATGATTTATTTTCACAGCATATGCCGAAAATGTGCCCAAAATACCGGCCGTTAGTATCACTGTAGAGGACGCCGAGCTGTTCGACCGAATCACTCAAAGAGGTCTCAGTATTACAATATTAACTGCTTATATATGGGGTGTTTCAATAAGTATGTCAGTAGATGAGATGAATTAAACAAAAATCTACCTTGATTAATGATAGTTAGATATTTTTTGGGTTAAAACTATTTAATTAGAACTTATTGGATCGCCCATACTAAAGTAATTGAGTGACCATGCATAGATTTTTAGATTAACTGCTATTAAAATTAACTATTATTTTTAAATTGCATTTTTGTAATATTTTTATAAATCTTAAAAATAGGTGAGAAAGTAAAAGTGAGTTTATATATGGAGGCCCATATGGAGGGCACCGGTATGTCCAGGAATACCATTAGCGAGATAACTGGCTATAAATATCCGGATGAAGTAAGTTTTTGTTTGATTTTATGTTTTTTGTATTTTTTACACTAAATTATTTCATTGTATGAAATAATAGGCGGTTATAGTGTCGGGCCATTTAGACTCGTGGGATGTGGGACAGGGAGCTATGGACGATGGCGGCGGCGCCTTTATCTCGTGGCGCGCCTTATCGGTGCTCAAGAAGTTAGGCCTTCAGCTGAAACGGACGGTGCGGTCCATACTGTGGACCGGCGAGGAGATGGGTTTCTTTGGGGTTAAGGATTACGTCAAAGTACGAGAGAGAGAGCACCGCGGTGTTGAACCCAATCACGACTCCAAACCAGTACTTGTCATCCACTATAGACCGGAACTCCTCGCCCACATCC